CTTCTCTCTCTCTCTCTCTCTCTCTCTGTCTCTCTCTCTCTCTCTCTGTTTGTCTGTCTCTCTCTCTCTGTTTGTCTGTCTCTCTCTCTTCTCTAACAGTCAGTCAGTCTGTGTCTGTCTGCCTATCTTCTCCCTCTCTTGGCTCTCTCCTCCTCTCTCCTCTCTCTCTTCTCTCTCTCTCTCTCTCTCTCTCTCTCTCTCTCTCTCTCTCTCTCTCTCTCTCTCTCTCTCTCTTTATTCCCATCTATCTACTCCTTTCCAATGAAAAACTTATCTGACACATACGAATATTGTATTTGTTTTTATATCTCTTATCATCGTTATTATCTGCCTCTTGCTGCCTAAGCTTCTACATCTTCTTAATCCGCTTCGCTGGATTTATATTCTATATATGTCTTACTTGTAAAGATACACGAGAATGTATTTTTTTCAAAGTTCATTTATTTTGTTGATTCATAAATACGTTTAGCTGGCAGGTCTGCTTTATTGAGGCCTGTTAAGGAAGACTTACTCGACTCTACTTATTATGAACAGCGAAGGAGATTCGAAAGGCTGGGACGTATGAAGACGCTTGGGATAGTGAAGGCGAAAGGAAATGATGAAAATGTATTTATCTATTTTGTTACATTGTACTTTGCGTGTGTCTGTTGCACTTCTCGTCATCTCTTTCATTGCTCTTTCCTTTTTTTTCTTTTTTTTTCGTAACATATTCAGTTAATGCTCTTCCTTCTCTCTTTTTTTCATAACCTCCTACCTCCTCTCTCTTCTCTCTTTCTCTCTGTTTCCCTTTCTTTTTCCTTTATTCTTTCCGTCGTATCTTTATTTCTTTCCTTCTCTCTTTACCTCTCCTTCCTCAGTTTCTTTCATCCTCTTTCTGTCTTTCTCCCTCCTTATCCCTCTCTCTCTTCCCTTCCTCCTTTCCATCATATCTTCCTTTCCTTGTTTTCCCCTTCCTCCTCTTCTTGCCTCCTCCTCCTCCACTTTTCTCCCGTCCCTCTCCGACCACATACCACATACCATCAGAACCGCAACACCTCATACCGCTCACAACATTTTTTTCTCATTTCCTTCCTCATTCCTTTCGTCCATCCATCACCCTCCCTTTCTCTTCTGTCTGCTTCTATTCCCTACCCCGCCCTCCGTTTCCTCCTTAATTCTCTCCCTCTTATCTTCTTCCTCCTTCCTCCTCCTTTTCCCTTTTCTCCTCCGCGCTCTAATTCCCTCCTTATTGCTCTCTTCTCTCCCTCACCTTCTACTTTATCTCCCTCTCTTTTCCCCTCCCCTCCCTTCCCTCTCTCTCCCCCCCTCATCCTCCTCACCCTCTACCTTACCTTCCCCCTTTCCTTTCCTTCATCTCCTCCCTCATCCCTCCCTCTCTCCCTCGTCCTTACGCCTACCCCTACCCTCCCTCCCACCTCCCCCTCCCCCTACCCTTCCACTTCCCTTCCCCCTCCCTCCCTCCTCCATCTTACCTCCCTCCCCTTCCTCTCCTCCCCCTCCCCCTCCACCTTACTAATGCAGGGCGAGGCAAGTTCTCTCACGCCCACACGGCCCCAGAAGACAATCAATTAACAGGTATCAAGGTGTTGTGCGTGTGTGCGTATGTTTGATTTGTTTGTGTGCGTTGTTTGTGTGTGTGTGTGCGTTTGTTTGTTGTGTGTGTGTTGTGTACGCATGTTTTTGTTTATATGAGTTTGTTTGTGTTTTTTGCTCCGCGTTTGTAGCATAAATGTACCTATGTGTGTGTGTGTGTGTGTGTATGTGTGTCTATGTACACACATATCTGTGTCTGTACGTGCGCTACGATTTTTTTTTCAATTTTCTGGATAGCTCAATACATTTCCATCTTTATCTCCTGTCCCTATCCATAATGTCATCGTAGCCTATATTTATCACTCTCCTCTCTGACCCCTACGTCTTCATCCTNTTTTTACTTTATGACTTTTTTTTTTTTTTTTTTACCAATTTAACTTTTTTTTTTTTTTTTTTTTTTTTTTTTTTTTTTTTTTTTTTTTTACTATTTTTCCGTTTCCCCCCATTAAACTTTCTCTTTGACCTTTCTTTTATTACCTTTTTCCCTCATTTCACTTTACCCTTTTTTATTTAATTTATTTTTACTATCATATTTTTAATTATTATTATCTTTGTTTTTTTACTTTTACAGTTTTTACCCTTTCATTTAATAAATTTACTATCATTATTTTTTAATTATTATTATCTTTTTTTTTTTTTACTTTTGCAGTTTTACCCTTTCATTTAATTTATTTTACTATCATTATTTTTAATTATTATTATCTTTTTTTTTTTACTTTTACAGTTTTACCCTTTCATTTAATTTATTTTACTATCATTATTTCTAATTATTATTATCTTTTTTTACTTTTACAGTTTTTACCTTCATTTAATTTATTTTACTATCATTATTTTTAATTATTATTATCTTTTTTTTACTTTTTCAGTTTTTACCCTTTCATTTAATTTATTTTACTATCATTATTTTCTAAATTATTATTATCTTTTTTTACTTTTTCAGTTTTTACCCTTTCATTTAATTTATTTTACTATCATTATTTCTAATTAATATTATCTCTTTTTTTTTCTTTTTTTTCAGTTTTTACCCTTTCATTATTAATTTATTTTACTATCAATCATCTAATCATTATCATCTTTTTTTTTTTTACTTTTACAGTTTTTTACCCTTTCATTTAATTTATTTTTACTATCATTATTTAAATTATTATTTATCTTTTTTTTTTACTTTTACAGTTTTTACCCTTTTATTTAATAAATTTTACTATCATCATTTCTAATCATTATCATCTTTTTTTTTACTTTTACAGTTTTACCCTTTCAATTTAATTTATTTTACTATCATTATTTTCTAATTATTATTTTATTATTATTATTATTTTTACTTTTACAGTTTTTACCCTTTCATTTAATTTATTTTACTATCATTATTTCTAATTATTATTATTATTATTATTATTATTATTTTTTTACTTTTACAGTTTTTACCCTTTCATTTAATTTATTTTACTATCATTATTTTTAATCATTATCATCTTTTCTTTTTTTTTTTTTTACTTTACAGGAGCGCGAACGAGGACGCGGGCGGCAGCAGATGTCGATGGAGGCCGCTGTCGTGAAGCTGCAGGCGGTAACCCGGGGTATGCTGGCGCGGAGGATCGTGAGGGAGATGCGATACCACGAGGAGCTTTTCCTCGGCTTGGTAAGTCCTGCGCGGAGAGAAGACGTGGAGATGAGGATATGTAAAAAAATATGATGATGATGGTGATGATGATGGTGATGATGGTGATGATGATGAGGATGGTGGTGGTGATGATGATGATTGATGATGGTGATGGTGATGATGATGATGGTGGTGATGGTGATGGTGATGATGATGGTGGTGGATGATTGATGATGGTGATGGTGATGGTGATGATGATGATGATGGTGATGATGATGGTGATGATGATGATGGTGATGATGATGATGATGGTGATGATGATGATGATGATGGTGATGGTGATGATGATGATGATGATGATGATGATGATGATGATGATTGATGGTGATTGGTGATGGTGGTGGTGGTGATGATGATGATGATGGTGATTGATGATGGTGATGGTGATGATGGTGATGGTGATGATGATGATGATGATGATGGTGATGATGATGGTGTGATGATGATGATGATGATGATGGTGATGGTGATGATGATGATGATGGTGATGATGATGATAATGATAATGATAATGATAATGATAATGATAATAATAATAATAAAATAATGATAATGATAGTCTTTGATACCAATCGAGAGATATTTGACTTCTAATCGAGAGAGATTTGACACCTAATTAACAGTTATATGACTCCTAATTAAGAGAGATTTGACTTCTAATCGAGGGAGATTTGACACCTAATCGACAGATATTTGACTCCTAATCAAGAGAGATTTGGCTTCTAATCGAGGGAGATTTGACTTCTAATAGAAAGAGATTTAACGCCTAATCGACAAACATTTAGTACCAACCGTAAATCAAACAAATGATCACAAAACGACATACCAGAACAAAAAAAAACGAGATTTATCACTAACCATGCAATCCAGAATATTTTCCCCACCGAGGTAGCATTAAGGAGGATTTCCAAACGTGTTGCAGCGCCCCGACCCGAGCCTGGACCGCAGCTGGGGGTCGAAGCTGGAGAAGGTGAAGCAGGCGAGGTACCGGGCGCAGGAGGAGAGGAAGAAGGAGCTGGAGGAGACAGAGAAACGCATCCAGACGAAGATTATCTACGAGGAAGGGGCGCATCTCCTTACCACCATGGAGGACAAGATCAGGGAGTGGATGTTCAGCAAAAAGTAAGTTTGGGTTGGGTTATGTGGGGGATGTTGAGCAGAAAGCAAGTTTGGATTGGGTTGTTTTTTTTGTTATGGTCGTGGTCTCATAAAGTCGTTATTTGGATTTCCTTAGTGGTACTGATGCCATGGTCGTGCTTTGGGATTTTACAGAGCGAATTTAATGGAGATTTTTGTTATAAGGTGTTACTGCTGAAGTGTGGAGATCGATTTTTTTGTTTTTCGTCTTTGTAGAAAATGTGTACTGTATTGGTGAATGTTCAGTATGTAGGCTTTTCCATTATAGGTCTATCGTGACATAAAAACAAACGCACACATATACACAAACAAGCAAGCACACACACACACACAAACAAACACGCACACAGACACACGCACACACACACACAAACAAACACACACAAACAAACACGCACACAGACACATGCACACACACAAACAAACACGCACACAAACACATGCACATGCACACACACACACACACACAAACACACACCACACACAAACAAACACGCACACAGACACATGTACACACACACACAAAACAACACGCACACAGACCATGTACACACACACAAACAAACACGCACACAGGACAGATGTACACACACACAAACAAACTGGCACA